CGGCGTCCTGCAGACCGAGGCGAAGCTTCGTACAGTCTTCGAGTTCTTCCGCCGACGCCCTCAGGAGCCCGCGGGCAAGCTCTTCGACGTCGACGTCCACCTTGTACTCGGCGGCCTGCGTCGAGACCGCGGCACCGTTGGCGTCAACGAGCACGCCGCTCGTGTCTGTCGCCGCCGCCGTCGCCAACGCGCCGCCATTGGCGTCGACGAGCACGCTTGTCGTCGCGTTCGAGCCGCGGTGCCACTCCGTGGCCGCCTCCTCCGACTCGTCGTCCGGCGCGACGATAGGCTTGACGCCAAACTCGGCGCTGCCCACCTTGAGCACCTCGCCTGTGTCGGACGAGACAAGCAGGCCGCCGTCGCCAACCGTCGTCTCCTTGGTCGCGATGACGATCCCCGCGGTCAGCCCCGCATTGATGCCGACCGAGGCGAGCAGCGCGATCACCAGCACGAGCGCAAACCTCCGGAAGACACGAAATAACTTGCGCTCCCTCGCGGCCTCCTTTTGGGCCTCCTGCTCCGCCGCCTCCTTCGCGGCAATTTCCTTGGCGACGCTGCTAGCTTCTGCCATGTCAATGACGCCATCGTTGTTCCTGTCGAAGACCCGCATCAACGCCGACGAGTTCCTCCGACCCAGAGTCCACTCTCCCGCATCAACCTCCGACGGGCCGCCGGCGGACTCTGGCGGCGACGGCGGCGGCGAGAAGACGGGCGGAGAGAAGGCCGCCGTGCTGTTGCGCCGCCAGCGCAGCTGCCGGAGCACGAGGTCGGCCGTGGCAGCAAACACGCTCACGGCGAAGAGGAAAGAGAGAGGTATCGCACCACCCTCCGTGAACCACGAGAAAGTGGTGCTCGACGCAGAGGATTCCACGGGAGCCGCTGCTGCGCCGGGGAGGCACGCCGCGGCGGCGGCGACGCAGACGGCCCACGCCACGCCGCGCCGAGCCCCCTTTCCGCTCGCCGCGGTCGGCCAGGAGGCGACGCAAGCGATGGCGAGGAAGATGAGCACGAGGGCGGGCATGAGAAGCGGCGAGCAGCTCACGAGCGAGGACGCCTTGGAGGCGACGGCGGGCGAGAAGGCCGAGGACGCCGCCGAGGCGACGCCGGATGAGAAGGTAGAGGACGCCGAGGCGACGGCAGACGAGAAGGCCGAGGCCACCGCCGTCGGGCTAGGCACGGCGGGCGCGCAGTGGCCGAAGGCGGGCATGCAGACGAGGAGCAGCCACCGGAAGGCGCCCTCGGCCTTCGTGTAGCCGCCCTGCACGCAGTTGGCCGCCGCTTTGAGGGCGGCGCGACCGCCGGCGCCGCACGTGCCAGCGCCGGCGCCGCACGTGCCAGCGCCGGCGCCGCACGTGCCAGCGCCGGCGCCGCACGTGCCAGCGGCGAATGGCGCCTTGCCGGACGTGGTCTGCGGCTCGCGGCGCCAGTTCGTGCGGCGGCCGCGGCCGCGGCCGCGGCCCTTTGCCTTGCCAGACTTGCGCCTGCCCTTTGCCTTGCCAAACGTGGGGTTGTTGCGGCAGCGCCTTGCCTTGCGCCGGCACTTCCTCGAGCGCCGCGACTGCAAGTCCGCCCACTTCTCCCGTTGCTCGGCAATGAGATCGAGCGCGGCCATCGCCTTCTTGAGCCGCCCCTCCCAGTGCTCGCGCTCCTTGGCGGCCTCGGCCTCAGCCAGCCCCGCGCCCGCGACCGCGCCAAGGGGCTTGGGCGCCACGGGCGCAATGCCGCCGGAGGTGGGGACTCCCGGTGACGGCGACTTCTTGCCGTCGGCGGGCGTAGCCTGGTAGCTGACGCTCTCGCCCAGCCGGCGGACTGCAGCCTCGACGCCGTCCACGTAGCCCGGTCCGGAGCCGCTGCGGGCCGACGCGGGCCCGCTCTTCCCCGCCGCCATCGGCGTGGGCAGGCCCGGGTAGCAGGTGGTGTCCTGCAAGCGCGATAGGGACACACGGGAAGGGAGATTATTACCGGTGGGAGAGCGAGGAGTGCCAGGAGAGAATGCTGCGGCGCGCTCACCGCTGGGTCGGGCGTGTTGGAAACGGTCTTGGCCGGCTTCTCGACCTCCTTGGCAGCCTCCTCGGCGACGGCCTCCTCGGCGACGGGCGCCTCGGCGACGGGCGCCTCCTGGGAGGCGGACACCTCGGCGGCGGCGGGCTTGATGGTCGCCTCCTCGGTGGCGGACTCCTCGGCGACGACGGCCTCCTCGGAGGCGGCCTCCTCGGCGACGGCGGCCTCCTCGGTGGCGGTGGACTTGGTGGAGGACTCCTCGGCGACGACGACCTCCTCGGAGGCGGCCTCCTCGGCGGCGGCCTCCTCCTTCACGACGACGTCGTTCTTGACGCCGCACGCCTGCGTGAGGGAGAAACGTAACTGTTTGGAGACGGGGACACCGCAGGGACAATGCCGATCCTGGCGTGCGCGTGCGCACCTCAGCTCCGAGCGAAGGCGGCAGCGTCAGGCTCGCGCGGCGGCGCTGATACCACTCCTCATAATCCGCGCTGGAAGCGAAGTAGCCACCGACCTTGACGGAAGCCGTTGGCCCGAGCTCGGTCTGAACCTGGGCCCCCTCCGCGAAACAAAAGCTGATTGGCACCTTTGCGAGGCTCCGATGGAACACGTGGGGGTTGTCGAACCAGACGCCCTTTGTTGATCTCACAACCAAGAAAGCCGACTCGCCCTCGCTCTCATTGAAGTCGACCATGTAGCGCCTCTCGGCGCGCGTCCTGCAGAGCAGAGAGAATGGGGGCCGCCCGTGAGAGGGGTGAGGCAAGGCGCCTGCATTGGTCGGAACAGCTATGCGCATGTGTGGGGTCTGAAATGAGAGGAGAGTGACGGGGGACAAAGCTCGGACGTTGAGCCTGCGGAGGGCGGCGTCACGAGGGAGCGGGCTAAAGTTCATGTCGGGCGAGTGTTTGCAGGCGACGAGGGCCAGAGAGGGGCCTTGCGGGCGAGGGCGAGGGCGAGGGTGGCGGCAGTGTGTGTGTGTGGGGGGGGGGGGAGGAGGCAGGAAGGGGGGGGGGGGGGGTCCGCAGCGTTGAAAGCCGAGCACGTTTGCGATGGCACTTGCGATGTGTCGCCCTCGCCCTTGCGCGCGACGACGATGGAGGAGAGAGCGAGTCGGGGACGGAGGTGCCGGAGGAGAGCACGATGGTGCCCATCACGATGCCCGGGATGTTGAGGATGCAGAGCCGACGCACGTGGACTGGACGCAGGCCACCTGGGGGCGGGGGGGGAATAAGGCTTGCGGTGGGGAGGCGGGTGGGTGGAGGGAAGTGGAGAAGGGTGTGGCGAGGGGGTTGGCGGGGAGGGCGGTGCGGGGGGGAGGTGGTGACTGTTGGTGAGGGGGGAAGGGGTGCGAGGTGGTGGGTGTGTGGGTGTGTGGGTGTGTGCAGAGTTGGGCCGGCGGTGCGGCGGCAGCGCACGTGATGAGGATGCAGATCCAGGCGACCGACATGCCGAAGTTCCACGTGAACCAGTACTTGCACTTGTCGCGCATCGACTCCGGCATCGACAGCTTGAAGGCGGAGATAAGCGGACACGAGAAGGCCGATGCAATTATACGAGGAGGAGGAGGGACTCGTACCGGCAAGGAGGAGGAGGTCGAGAGCGAAGAAGAAGAGGAAGAAGAAGAGGAGGAGGACGGAGAAGATGTAGAAGGAGAAGTCGCACAGCACAGGGAACTTGGTGATAGGGAAGTGGGCTGTGTTTGCGTTTCTTTGTGGGGCCGTTGGAAGGGTGGAGGCATCTAGATGGAGATGAAGAGCGAGGCGCACCTCAGACTCGGCACCTGATCGGACGGAGGCAGCCGGTGAGCGGGGGGAGAAATAGAGGATGCGGCGGCGGCCGGCGGACGGCGCTCAGCGCGCATGGGCAAATCCAGCGCGGAGCGGGCGGCGCTGGCCCGGAGCCCTAGCGCGGGCGTGGCGCGGCAGGGCGCGGCGCGGGCGTGGTGGCGCGCAGAGATGCTGGCCACGCTGCTCGACCGGCGGTGGCCGCACCTGCGAGCGGAGAGGGGCAGGCGGTGAGGACACTCGAGCGACGCGCCCAAGCCGCAGGCGGCGCAGTGTGGTGGAGGGGAGGAGGCGGCGGCGTGGCGGGGGCGGGGGGGCGGGGGCGGGCGACGCGGGCGGCCGCCGCTGCTCCGCGCCGTCGACCCACACCTGCGGAGCAGAGGCGCCGCGCCGCGGGCGGGCACAAGCTGGAGGGGGACGCTGGTGCCGAGGTGACGCGAGATGTCGCAAAGAGAAACTCTCCTCGAGGTGGATATCCTTTGGCCGCGTTGGGTAGCGAGGATTGGTGTAACCCGATCCACGCAGGCGTGTTTTCTGGCGGCCGACCGTCAGTGCACGGAGTTGCCACTTCTCCGACTGCCCCGGCTAGTTCCCGAGTTTCGAGGGAGTGACCCCATGCGTCAAACCCGAGACCTAGCACGGGTGGGTTGGAGGGGGCTCGCCCCGTTCCTCCCCATCGGGCCGCGTGAGCGGCCTCGCCTCGCAGATTCGTTTTTCGCGCCTGGGTCAGGCGCGCGGGGCATCCCCCGGGTCGCTCGACCAGCGATCCGAAGAGTGGCCGCTATGCGAGGGAAAGAGCGGGGCCCATGAAAGCCTGCACCCACCGCCCCTGCCACCCTCCACCGAGACAAACCGCACCTGCTCCCTCCTCCCTGCGCGGCCCGCCGCCGCATGCATCTCCCTCCAGGCCGAATGGTGAATCGTCGCGGAGTATGAATCGGCGCTGAGCGTGTTGTAGAAGATTGCTGCGCGAGCTCCATTCAGTTAGCGGAAGGTATGCATGTGCCGGGGGCAGCCCTCTCGGGTTGTAGATGCGGTAGGTAGGTAGGTAGGTAGAAAGGTGAAGAAAACAGTCAGGCTTGGACTGGACACCAACGCGGTATGGCGGTAGGCGGCCCCAAGAGTTGTTCACAGCTGGGGGGGGGAACAACTCTCACAGAAACTTCTGGGAAACAACTCCCACGAGAACGCCGTTCCCAGATCTCCCACCTTTCGATGCGCCTCCTTCTGCTCGGCCTGCTTGCGGGGCTCGCGGTCGCCGAGAGCGGCCCGACCCTCATCCCTGGCGACGCCCTCGGCTCGGACTCGGCCATGCACGCCAGCATCGACCACGACTGGAAGACCTGCTCCGCCTTTCACGGCTGCCGCGGCGGCGACCGTTCGGAGAAGATGGTGAGTGTCGAACTCGCCGGCGCCGGCGCGGCCGGATCGAGCGCACATCACGCGCCGAACGCCTCCGCGTCGCTCGCCGGCGCGGAGGCCCACAAGTGCACCATGAACGAGTGCCCGTGCGCGACCAGCGAGTCTGGGGACGCAAACGTGTGCTGCAAGGACAACAAGTTGAGCGAGTTCTCGATCGAGGGCGGTTCGGCGCGCGCCACTCCTGGCCGGCCCTCCCTCCGCGAGGGCTGGTGGTGCTGCGCCTCTGCGGCGGTGCTGCTCCTCGAAGCGTGCGGCGCCTGCTGGCTGCTGCTGGGGCAGCGGGCGCCGCGCTCCGGTGCTGCAGCCTCGGGGCAGCGATCCAGCAAGGCGGTCCGTCCCCGGCTGAGCAAAAAGGGCCGCGGCCGCGGCTCGCACCGGCGACCGAAGCCGCGCGGACCGCAGGTGCGCAAATGCAAGTCGCCGTCCGGCTCTGGCGGCACTGGCACTAGCGCTGGCGCCGCCGCCGGCGCTGGCATCCGCAGCACTGGCATCCGCGCCGGTCTCAAGCAGGCAACCGGCCGCGTGCAGAGCAGCTTTGCGGGTGCCCCATGCGCCACCATGTGCATCTGGTCTTGCTTCATCCGCACCGGCCTCTGCGCGTCTGTGGCCGGCCCGGCGGCCAGCAGGGCGGTCCTTCCCCGGCTGAGCAAGAGCCGCAGCTCGGTGGCCTACTTGCTCCTGCTGCTCGTTTTCTTCCCCGTGGCTCGGGCTGGCTCGGGCGAGGCTGGCTCGGGGGGCGAGGGTGATTGCGCGGACGATGCAGCGTTCAGAGATCCTTACGGCTACAGTTGCTCCGACTGGCTCGGATATGATTGCAGCTTCTACACGGGCTACAGTCCAGTTGAATTGGCCATTCTCCGCGAAAACTGCCCTCTCAGCTGCGGCAGTTGTTCGCCACCGCCGCTCCAGCCGCTACCCCCGCTGCCGCCACCACCACCCTCTGCACCGCCGACGCCACCTCTGCTCCCGCCACCACCGCCGCCGCCACCTCTGCTCCCGCCACCACCGCCGCCGCCACCTCTGCTCCCGCCACCACCGCCGCCGCCGCTGCCTCCGCCGTGTCCGCCGACGCCGCCACTGTCCCCCTCCCCCTCTCCCCTCTTCCTCGACCAAACCCCATCCGCAGACGGCCGCCGCCGCTTCCCGCTGCCGGCCGTCCGCCCAAGCGGCAGTTTTGCTTACCCGCCGTTGCCAAACTGCTCCGCCACCAACAGGGTCGGGTGCATCGGTGTCCCAATGACGGTTCTGTCGCCGCTGGCAGCCTGGAACGGCTCGCTGGAGTTGGCGGGCGATGTGGCCGACTACTTCACTTCGGCCGTCGATGGAGACTTGGGGTTCACCATCCCTGGAGGGAGCAGCAACACTTACTCCACTTCGGTGGCGGACGTCGACGGGGACGGGAACATGGACGTCGTCGTCGGCAACTACGGCGAAGAGAACCAAGTCCTCTTTGGGAGCGCGGGCGGAAGGACCTTCTCCGAGGTCGCCCTTCCTGGAGGGAGCAGCAACACTTACTCCACCTCGGTGGCGGACGTCGACCGGGACGGGAACATGGACATCGTCGTCGGCAACTACGGCGAAGCGAACCAGGTCCTCTTTGGGAGCGCGGGCGGAAGGACCTTCTCCGAGTTCGCCCTTCCTGGAGGGAGCAGGAACACGTACTCCACCTCGGTGGCGGACGTCGACGGGGACGGGAACATGGACATCGTCGTCGGCAACTACGGCGAAGCGAACCAGGTCCTCTTTGGGAGCGCGGGCGGAAGGACCTTCTCCGAGTTCGCCCTTCCTGGAGGGAGCAGCAACACTTACTCCACCTCGGTGGCGGACGTCGACCGGGACGGGATCGTGGACGTCGTTGTCGGCAACCACGGCACAGAGAACCAGGTCCTGTTTGGGAGCGCGGGTGGGAGGGCCTTCTCCGAGGTCGCCCTTCCCGGAGGGAGCAGGTACACTTACTCCACCTCGGTGGCGGACGTCGACCAGGACGGGAACATGGACATCGTTATCGGCAACCTCGGCGCAGCGAACCAGGTCCTCTTTGGGAGCGCGGATGGAAGGACCTTCTCCGAGTTCGCCCTTCCTGGAGGGAGCAGGTACACTTACTCCACCTCGGTGGCGGACGTCGACCGGGATGGCATCCTGGACATCGTCGTCGGCAACTCCGGCGCAGCGAACCAGGTCCTGTTTGGGAGCGCGGGTGGGAGGGCCTACTCCGATGTCGCCCTTCCTGGAGGGAGCAGGAACACGTACTCCACCTCGGTGGCGGACGTCGACCAGGACGGGATCGTGGACGTCGTTGTCGGTAACTCCGGCGCAGCAAACCAAGTCTTGTTTGGGAGCGCGGGCGGAAGGGCCTTCTCCGAGGTCGCCCTTCCTGGAGGGAGCGCGAGCACTCACTCCACCTCGGTGGCGGACGTCGACCGGGACGGGATCGTGGACGTCGTTGTCGGCAACCTCGGCGCAGCGAACCACGTCCTCTTTGGGAGCAGCGGAAGGAACTTCTCCGAGGTCGCCCTTCCTGGAGGGAGCAGCAACACTTACTCCACCTCGGTGGCGGACGTCGACCAGGACGGGAACATGGACGTCGTTATCGGCAACTACGGCGCAGCGAACCAAGTCCTCTTTGGGAGCGCGGGCGGAAGGACCTTCTCCGAGGTCGCCCTTCCTGGAGGGAGCAGGTACACTTACTCCACTTCGGTGGCGGACGTCGACCGGGACGGGAACATGGACGTCGTCGTCGGCAACTACGGCGCAGCGAACCAAGTCCTCTTTGGGAGCGCGGGCGGAAGGAACTTCTCCGAGGTCGCCCTTCCTGGAGGGAGCAGGAATACGTACTCCACCTCGGTGGCGGACGTCGACGGGGACGGGAACATGGACATCGTTGTCGGCAACTACGGCGAAGCGAACCAGGTCCTGTTTGGGAGCGCAGGTGGGAGGGGTTTCACCGAGTTCGCCCTTCCTGGAGGGAGCGGGCAAACTCGCTCCACTTCGGCGGCGGACGTCGATGGGGACGGGATCCTGGACATCGTCGTCGGCAACAAGTACGCAGCGAACCAAGTCCTCTTTGGGAGCACGGGCGGAAGGACCTTCACCGAGGTCGCCCTTCCTGGAGGGAACACAAGTACTCGCTCCACCTTGGTGGCGGACGTCGACGGGGACGGGAACATGGACGTCGTTGTCGGCAACTACGGCGCAGCGAACCAGGTCCTGTTTGGGAGCGCGGGCGGAAGGAACTTCACCAAGGTCGCCCTTCCTGGAGGGAGCAGGAACACGTACTCCACCTCGGTGGCGGACGTCGACGGGGACGGGATCGTGGACATCGTGGTCGGCAACTTCGGCACAGAGAACCAGGTCTTTTTTGTTGGCTTCTGCCCGACGGGAGGTGCACAGGTCCACGGCAAGAGCTGGTGCTACAAGTGCCCTTCCTTCATGGGACTCGCGGGCGCCTCCTGCGTGGAGTGCCTCCCCGACTTTGTGCAGCAGCCCGGGAGCGGAGAGCTCTGCGCATCAGACCCCTGCCCCCTTGGCGAGCGCCCGTTCGGCAGCGACGCGTGCACCGCTTGCAAGGACAAGCCGGGCGTCTTCTACAACACCAGCGCCGCCGCGGCGCGCACAGAGCGCGACTCAACCACATGGATTCAACCCAGTTGCGTGGAGTGCCCAATGGGCAGCGTCGCGAACGGTGTCGCCGTCGACGAGTGCTTTGCTTGCGCTGCGGGTTCGTACCAGAACCTGATTGGCCAGGCCGAGTGCAAGCGGTGCCCCGCGGGCCAGTTTCAGCCGGAGCGCGGACAGACGTCGTGCGACAGGTGTGCCACGGGCGGATACTGTGATGATGCCGAGAACTGTGGCGGCGGCTTCACGCCCTGCCCAGCGGGTACATTCAACGAGAAGACGGGTAGCAGCTCGTCCGACGCCTGTCAGCCGTGCCCCCCCGGAACCTCTAGCCCGACCGCCGGCGCAGACAGCAGCGAGACGTGCGCGAGCTGCCGTGCTGGGACGTTTGGTGGCGAGCCCGGGCTGAGTGAGTGCACGGACTGCCCTCCCGGCGCGTCGTCAAACCAAGGGAGCGATTCGTGCGAATCGTGTGAGGCGGGCTCTTACGCCGCCAACGCTGGCCAGGGCCAGTGCATCCCATGTCCTCATCCCCTCGGTAGTGGGCGCGGCGACGTCATTTGCTCCGTCTGCATGAAGGACTACTACCTGCTCTCGAGCGCCGACCCCGACGACATCTTCAAATCCCCGACCGATTACTGCAAGTCCTGCCCGCCGAACGCCGACTGCCCAGTCAACACGACTCTCCAGTCCCTCGGTATCCCGGCCGGCTTCTGGCGCGCTAGCCCCTTCAGCGCCGTGTTGACAGAGTGCGGCGGCTTTGGCGGCGATGGCGAGGCCGGCAAGCAGCGATGCGCCGGCAGCGAGGCAAAGGCCTCTCGTCGCCGGAGGATGGAGGCTTCGGACGAGTACTGCGCTTCCGGCTTCACTGGCCCGGAGTGCCAGCTCTGCGTCGCAGCGAATCACTACCTCGTCGACGGATACACGTGCGAAGAATGCGCTCCGCGCGCCGCTGTGGCTGGCCGCATTGTCGCCCTCGTCATCGGTGCCTGTATTGCCTGTGGCCTCGCGGTTTGGGCCTACAGCATGACGAAATGGCGGAAGGAGCGCTTCATCGGCCGCGTGCTCCGCTTTGCCGATCGTGCCGTCTACATTTACGTCGCGATCGGCCTCACGGCCAAGACCAAGGTTCTAATAGATGCTCCCGTTGGTTGGGAACCGATATTAGCAAGCGCCGACCTCGATGATAGTCCATATTAGCAAGCTAATAACCGACCTGATAGGTGCTCTTTGGATTCTACCAGATCTGCACCGTGTTGTCCTCCACCTACTCGGCGCGGCTGCCGCCAGAGTACACGGGCTGGACCGACAAGCTGGCTAATACGGTCTCAATCGACTGGTCTGGCCTTTTCCTGCCGCAGCAGTGCCTCGGCTACGATTTGCGGCTGCTCGCCATCGCTCTCTCGCCCGTCGCCTTCATCGCACTGCTCATGGCAGCCGGGATAAGCCTGCGGCTCTACCGCTGGCGTGCCGCGCCGCCACCGCGCCCAATGGAAGCGACGCCGGGAGCCGACACCGATGCAGCATTCGGCCTCGTGGAAGCATCGATGTCGGTGATGTCGGCGATCGCTGACGCGATAAACGCAGACGAGGACGCTCCGCGTGCGACGCCGTGGTATGCTGAGGCGGCCCTCGGCGTCCTCGATCTCACGCCTGCCGGTTTGGTGCTCATCTTCTGCTTCGTGCCCTCCATCAGCGCCTCCATCTTCCGCGCGTGGTCATGCAAGGTAATGCCCCCAAACTGTTGACTGCTGCCGAAACCGACCCCCCTTCAGCGCTCGCCGTGTGTCGCTCATAGGCCTACACCATCTCTCCGCCCGACTCGCCTCTCGAGCAGGTCTCCTACATGCGGCTGGACGCGAGCGTCGAATGCTACACCGAGGATCACGAGTCCATCACCGACCTCGCCATCGGCCTTATCGCCCTGTGGCCTGCGGGCTCGCTGATCCTCTTCACTTCGCTCCTCGTCGCCTGCTACAAGCCGCTACAGGCCAAGAGGCCGAATGCCCTGACGCGGGCCACCGGCTTCCTCCACCGGGAGTACAAGAAAAAATGCTACTGGTGGGAGGTGGTCGAGCTGGCGCGCAAGCTCGTGCTCACGGGCTTCGTGCTGCTGATCCCGGAGAAGAGCGCCTTCCTTCGCCTCGTGGTGGCGACCCTCGTCTGCTCCTTCTACGCCGTCGTGCTCGCCGTCGTGCGGCCCTTCAAGCGGGTCGAGGATAACGTGCTGGCCGTGGTGCGCCAGCCACCCCTCACCCCCTTTACACTTGCTAAAGCGAGGCACGGCTTGGATTGCAGGCCACCAGCCTCGTGCTCCTCCTCCTCTTCCTCGCCGCGAACTGGACGACCATCTTCCTCGGTATCATTGAGCGCTCCAGCGTCGACACCGCCGATGCAGTCCTCGGCTTCGATAACCTGTCTGGCATCATCAACTCGATGCTCGTCCTCGTCGGCGTGACGCTGCTCTTCTTCCTCATCGGTGCCGTCTTCTCCGCCCGCCACGCCAAGGAGGTTCCCACGATCCGCCTCGTCTCGACCAACCAGCCGCCCGAGCTGAGCGTCGGGATGGGCATCACGTGGCATCTCTTCAACAGCCACATCTGGAGTACCGGTCAAGACGCCGTCGCGGTCATCAAGAAGCAGCTGCAGATCCTGCTGCCTGGCATCAAGATCTTCCTCGACGCGCGCGCATGCTGCCCAGTCGCGCTGCATGGCGAGCAAAGCCCCTCTGACGCACCGCGGTGCGCGCATAGGTAGATGACCTCAAGGATATCGGAGCGCTCGAGGAGTACATCCAGCGCTCGCAGGTCATCCTCTTCTTCCTCTCTAGGGGCTACTTCAAGTCCAGGGCGCCTCATGCTTCTATCCTGCCTCTGTCATAGCCCAAGCTCCCTTGCCTCACCCCGTGCCCGCCTGTGCGCCATAGAACTGCCTTCGAGAGGTCCGCTCGTCGCTCGAGATGGACAAGCCGCTCGTCCTCGTCCAAGAGGCCGACCCGGCCAAGGGCGGCGGGACGCTACCAGCGCTGCGCGCAGAGTGCCCCGAGGAGCTCCAGCCCGACATCTTTGACAAGGACTGGCCGCTCACGATCTGGTACCGGATCAAGGAGTTTCAGATTGTCTCGCTCAAGATCACCGCCGAGGCGCCCCCGCCCGCAGCCAGAGCCCCTCCGCAGTCCTCTCCCTCTCCCGACCAACCCCACTTGAACTCTACAGGCGCTGCTCCTTTGTTCGCCCAACTTTCTGGACAGCACCTCCCTTCCGCTCACAGTGACGGGCGAGCTGCGGATCAGGGCATTCGGCTTCTCCACGTTCGCAAAGGTCTGGGCCTCTCCGGCCAACGCCGGCGCAAAGGAGCTGGCCGATGAGCTCGTCGCCGCCTTTCCCGGCCTCACCGTCTCCACCGCCGAGGAGGCTGGCGACGCGACCCACATGCTGCTCTACCTCAACGAGCACAGCTTCAGCGACGAGCGGCTGGCCGAGCAGGTTACGCAGGCGCGCCAGGACAGGCTGCCGATCGTCATGGCGCACGAGAACGACCCGGACCGCGGCGGCTGCGAGTTCGCCAAGTTTTTTGAGACCACGCCGCAGGTGGAGCGAGTGACACCCGTCCTGAGCCTCCCCTCCCCCCACAAACCTCTCCTTCCAACGCCGCAGGAGCTCATCGCGGGCGGGCTCTACAAGGACCTCGCGCGCTCGTGCTTCCCCGGGCGCCACCGCGAGGCGCGCGCTCGCCCCCTCGCCGCCTGGTGGGCGCTCACCGGCCGTCACGCCGCGCTGCTCAACCCGCCCCCCGCGTAGGCGTCGCTCGTGCTCCTCGCAAAGGGTCTCGGCGCGACTCCGGTCAAGAGCGCCGACCTCAGATCGAGCATCGTGCGCCGCACGTCAACGGCCTTCCGCAGCCTTGGCGGCGTCCGGCTCCGCGCCTCAGAGCGCTCAACCTCGGGAGAAGCCGAGGCAGCGACGTCGGCATCGGCAGAGCACGTGTAGCCGAGTAGAGCGGCGTTGAGAGCGTGGCATCTGCTGCAAGCGCCAGTGGGGTGGCGGGAGCCGCGTCTCCCACGTAGCGATGGCGTAACCGCAAACTAGTTGAGGGTCGTCCCACGGTCCTGTGCTCATCACCAGGATGCCAGAGGGGCACGGCCCGGTGCGCTCTTTGCGTGAGGGCCTAGTGGGAATGCGCAATTGCGTCGTGAGCGACCCGCGCCGTACGGGGTGTGCGTGTGGAGGGTGAGTTGACCAGGGTTGTGCGTTGGGCCCTCCTGCTCGGCTCCAGCGAGTAGACAAGTGTTGTCATCAGCTTGTCATCAACAGAGTAGAAGGATCTGACCTCGGGGCCGATGTGGCCAAGCGGCAAGGTCATGCCAAGGCGAGGCAGAGGTCATGCCAGGAGAGAAAGACGACCACAAGATTGTACACGCCGACATCACACTCGCAGAGGGCTGAGGGAGACGCCGAAGAAGGATTACGTAGGACAGCACAGGCGGATTGGAGTAAGACTAGACGACTGGGACGAGGCGGAATGGGCGACGTACGGGTCCATGAAGAACATGTGGCAAATAGGAGGAGAGACGTGGACAAGGACGGGAGGAGGGAACTCATACATCGAAGAGGCACAGGCTATCTATGATGGAAGCGGCGGCGACAGCGATCCGGAGCAAGCGAAAGAAGGGCAAGACGCGGAGAGACGAGGACGGGGACGAGGAGCGGCCAGCGGCGAAGACGCACCGCGCGTCGCTCTGTGAACAGATTGGCCGGTGGTCGAGGCTAGCGGGAGAGGCGGAACGGTACCGAGGGGAGACAGGAGAGGACGCAAACGATAGAGGGAGCGGACCGTGAGTTGAGGAAATCCGGGGACGCGACCCACTTCGCCACAGACGGTCCCGCGCCTCGCCGCTATGACCGCTGCACGGCCCGTACCGTCCGCTGTGCAGCGGTCTTTGTCCGGAGTGAAAAGTCCAACGCGCTCGTCGGTGACGGCGTCCCCGGATTTCGCCGCGCTCGGCGAACCTCGACAGCGCTTTCGGTGGCATGCAGCTCTTTGCGACAGAAGCCTGGAGAGCAGCTCCTCTGCTGCTCACACACTCTGCACAGTTGACACAGCCTATTGTGCGGCTGCCACAGCTGTGACAGCGATGGGATCGCCCTCACTGGCCCTCAGTCACTTGTGCTGCGGCTTGTGTGAGCGACACTGCTCGGCGACTGCCGGCACACTGTGAGACCATGGGTGTGAGGTTAAACCACGCTACCAGCGCTTGGTCACATCGGCCCCGAGGTCAGATCCTTCTACTCTGTTGATGACAAGACTTGTCTACTGGCTGGAGCCGAGCAGGAGGGCCCAGCGCACAACCCCTGGTCAACTCAGGGTCCACACCCCGTATCGGGGACGCAGAACAGCGCAGAATCTACAAGGCACTGTGGCACCAGGCAAAATTAACAAAGGTAATCAAGCGGGAGAGGCACGGAGGCGATGCGGCGAGGGCGCAAGCCGCGCGGGATGCATGCCGACACCATCTGAAAAAAATGAGCAAACGACTTGAGAAGATGGACTCGACGGAGACGGCGGCGCGCGGCGCGCGGCGGTCAAGCTGCCTGCTGGCGGGCGGCGCTTCTAGTCGTGATTTTAGTGCCGCGTAGGTCGCCCTTCGGCCACTTCTCGGGCGTGCGGCCGCGGTGCGCGAAAGGGGGGCGCGCTGCGGCTCGCTGGCGGAGGTGAAAGCGGGAGCTGGCGGGCCGGGGGCGTCGGGCGGGTGCGTGAAGGCACCCGTGCCACCAGGACGGGCCGTGGTGGCCCGTGTGGCGGTCGTGAAGGGCCGTTTGGTGCGCCCCGGCGGCCTCGTGCACGGCGGCCGCCGGAGCCGGTTTGGACTGTGTTTGGGGGGGTGGAGGGGTCCGATGGCCGGTGTTATGGTCGTCTATCACCCTCCTATCACCCACTTACCGCCCCCGGCCGTGGGGGCCTCTCCAGACGCCGCCAGTTATGATTTCAAAGGGTCCTGCCGACGCTCATCACAGTGCGGCGCGAGCCTCTCCTTGCCCCAAAAACACCTCGCGCGGTGTGTGTGTGGAGAAGTTTACCTTACCTTACCCTTACCTCTCTTTCCGTCCCGAGCGCCGAGGTACACGCACAAGTCTTTCTGTCTCTTTCAACACGTAACCTTTTTAAAAGCCAGGCTTTTTCAACACGTAACCAGACTAGTTCCTCGTGGCCGGTCCCGGCGGGCGTGCATGGCGTCGGCAGCGCCTCCGGCACGCTGGCCAGGCTCGACACCGTCCCCAGAGGACCACTCCCGTGAGCCCGGCGGCGACGGCAAAGAGCACCGCCCCGCCCAGCGTGCCGCCGAGCATGGAGCGGAGGGGCATCATCGACCCCGCGCCCTCCTCAGCGAGGCTCGCCCCTGCTGTGCCGCTGTCGGGCGCGTAGAGCGCGTAGAGCGTGTCGGAATCTAGTCCGAGGCACGCGCCCACCGCACTCTGGGCGCTCATAGCGCCCTCGGCGACGGCAAGCACGGCGGCTCCACCGCCCGAGGCCGACTCGGGCGCACACCCCCTCGTGCGCCGCATGCCTGCTTATCACGCGCCCTGCAACGCTTGCTCGTAGACCCTGCGGCGCGCCACCGCCTTCGGGTTGGCCGGGTCGTACCGCAAGACGTGGAGCGTGTCTGCGAGCGCCGCCTCGGGCTCGCGCATCTGCTGCCTGTTCACACCTCGGGCCGTGAACGGCGTGCCTTCACACCTCGACGCCTCGGGCTCCGCCTCTGCCGCCCACGGTGTGAATACGCCGAGGGCAGGGTGTGAATACGGTGTTGTGCAACACACTCGGAGCCCAGCGAGAATGCAGTGGCTTCGAACAGAGCTGAATGCAGCGGAATCGAGCCTCCTCTCGAGTGCTCGGGTGACACTGATTTCCCCCTCCCCCCCCCCCTCCCTCCCTCCCTCTAGAGCTCTGCTGCCGGCACGCTGCGCGGTTGGAGTAGCAAGCGAGCGCCAGGTCGGTGTACGCGCACGGCAACACCTAGGTACCCGTCACTGACCACTCACTCTCAGCAATGCACAGCTAGTCCGCCGCACTCGCGCGGCCGCACCGCGAGCGCGCGGCTGTACGCCCCTGCGGCCGCCTCGAAGCGCGACTCGCGGTACGCCTCGTTGCCGCGCTCCTTGAGGGCGAGCGCCTGTGGACGAGATCACCCGAGATTGTCCGAGATCACGTGAGATCTACCCGAGAGTGCCCCAGAGTCGTTCGTTGGAGTAGCTCATAACTCGTTGTGTTGGCAGTCAAGACAGCAGCCGAGACTACCCGAGAGATCACCCGAGATCACCCGAGATCACCCGAGATCACCCGAGATCACCCGAGATCACCCGAGAGATCACGTGAGATGACGAGAGATCACCCGAGATCACCAAAGACTACCCGAGATCACCCGAGATCACCTTGATCACCCGAGATCACCAAAGACTACCCGAGATCACCCGAGATCACCCGAGATCACCCGAGATCACCCGAGATCACCCGAGATCACCAAAGATCACCCGAGATCACCCGAGATCACCAAAGACTACCCGAGATCACCCGAGATCACCTCCCAGTGTGGCGCGACCAGCGCCGACAGCTTCTGGCGCTGCCCAAGCTTGCTCACGCCCGCGCCCCGCAGCTCGCGGTGCACCTGTGCGCAGGCACGGAGGGGTCAGGGGAGACCAGCAACAAGGACTGGTTCTCGAGGA